TCCAGACACACATGTCAGATATGATGATGGTTACTGAAAATCTTATCATATAACAGAAAGGTTCTTCCAACCCCAAAGGATCAGCCACATGCCCAGGTCCAATTATAATTTAGATCTTGGCCAAAATACACGCTATAGTCAGTTCTTGTTAACTAAACTAAAATTTATTAAAAAAAGAAAAGAGAGAGCGTGCTGGTTAAAAGATCAATATACAAACAGACTTGAGTTCAATTCTTGAGGTTCAGATACACAGCAGAGATGAGCTTGTTGTTGCCAAAAGTCCTTTTAGAAATAATCCATAGGTTATAGTCCAATGTCCGTATTCAGGGTGACTCCAGTCAGTGACTGGGGATCTCAATCCTTATGGCTTAAGGTTTCCCCCTCTTGAAACCCAAAGCAGATCTGAGATGAGGAAGGATCGTGCCCCAGGGTTTTTATACATTTCCTGCAGCCTTTTGGCCTGAGAAAACAATAGGCTTAACTTTCCTTCTCCCAGACACCGTGGCAATTAGCACAGGGTAATTTATCCATTAAACCAGTCAGATACAGGTTACTACAACCTTCAAAGAGACATATAGACAGCAGTACGATTTCACTCAAGTGTCGTCCTAAATGTTAATATTCCTCTTTTGATCTTTGAATCAAAGTTACAGCCATAGACAAGACTTCTTTGCTGACATCACAAGACCTGAACAAACATCTACCTTTCTATCTCTAATAATGCAGGCTTGCATTTCAAAGCTCTATTCATTTACATCTCTTCCTAACCAGTCTTTAAAGTTCGGCCATGGGTCAGGTCAGTCTGTGAGTTAATTAACTCTGGCCTTGTCACCTTTCAATGAGATAGTATATTACACTCTTAACGTCACACATGGGAAGCAGCCCTGGGACAATAGACTGCAGTTGCCACTGAGGGAAGTGACTGGACAGAGATTGCAGGTCCCCCAGAAGGGGGGAACGCAGAGTGTGGCAGAGCTGGAGGGCAGTGTCACTGAAGAGGACCCCGCGGTCCTGGGAGTGGCACAAGTCTTGGAATGAAAGTGATGGTGCTGAGGCACCACCAGAGAAGGGTGCAATGGCGAAGAGAGCTAATGCCCAATGGCGAAGAGAGCTAATGCCCAAGGAGGTGCTACAGTGGTGAGTGAACCCTATCACAATGAGGTTTTCTAAACTTTTTATCATTTTTGTCACTCTCCTCTGGACTCTCTTCAATTTGACCAAAAGTGTGGTGCCCAGAATTGGATACAGTACTTCAACTGAGGCCTCACCAGTGCCAATTAGAGTGGGACAGTTACCTCCCATGACACTCCTGTTAATACACCCCAGAATGGTATTAGCTTTTTGTTTTCCAGCTGCATTACATTGTTGGCTCATATTCAATCTGTGATCCATTATAACCCCCAGATCCTTGTCAACAGTATTGCCACCTAGCTAGTTATTTCCCATTTTTGTTGTTGTACATTTGATGTTTCCTTCCTAGGTGAAGTACTTTGCACTTGTCTTTATTGAATTTCAGCCTGCTGAATTCAGACCAATTCTTCAACTTGTCAAGATCATTTTGAATTTTAATCCTGTCCTCCAAAGTGCTTGCAACCCCTTCCAGCTTGATGTCATCTGAAAATTTTAAAAGTATACTCTCAAGTCATTAATTAAAATATTGAATAGTACCAGACCCAGGACTGACCCCTGCTGGTCCCCACTAGATACATCCTCCCAGCATGACTGTGAGCGATTGATAACTACTCCTTGAGTATGGTCTTTAAATCAGTTGTACACCCACTTTACAGTAATTTAATCTAGATCACATTTCCTTAGTTTTCTTGTCAGAATGTCATGTGGGACTGTGCCAAGAGCCTGACTAAAATCAGATCTATCACGTCTACTGCTTCCCTCCTATCCACTAGCTCAGTAACCCTGCCAAAGAAGGATATTAGATTGCTGTGGCATGATTTGTTCTTGACAAAGCCATGCTGATTATTCCTTACAACTCTCATATCCTCCAGGTGCTTACATATTGATTATTTAATAATTTGTTCCAGTATCTTTCCATCGAAGTTAGGCTGACTGGTCAATAATATCCTGGGTCCTCTTTGTACCCCTTTTTAAAGATAGGTACTATGTTTGCCCTTCTCCAGTCTTCTGGGACCTCACCGATCCTCCAGGAATTCCCAAAGATAATTGCTAATGGTTCCAAGATTTCATCTGCTAGTTCCTTAAGTACCTTAGGATGAATTTCATCAAGATCTGCTGACTTGAAGATGTCTAAATTATCTAAATATTCTTTAACCTGATCATTCCTCACTTTGGCTTGCTTTCCTTTCCCCTTTTTGTTAATATTAGTTGTGTTGAATATCTGGTCACCATTAACCTTTTTAGTGAAGACTGAAGCAAAATAAGCATTAAACACCTCAGCTTCCTTGATGACATCAGTTATTAGCTCTCCTTCCCCGTTAAACAGCGGACCTACACTTTCCTTGATCTTTCTCTTGCTCCTAATATATTTAAGGAACATCGTCATATTGCCTTTTACGTCCCTTAGGTGTATCTCATTGTGTGCCTTAGCCTTTCTGATTTTGTTCCTACATGCTTGTGCAGTTCTTTTCTATTCGTCCTTAGTAATTTGTCTATGTTTCCACTTTTTGTAGGATTCCTTTTCAATTTTCAGGTCTTTAAAGAGCTCCTGATGGAGCCATATTGGCCTCTTACTATTCTTCCTCTCTTTCGCCTTCCTCTGTAGCATGGGGCACGGGTCACTTGCTGGAGGATTCTCTGCTCCTTGAGGTCTTCAAACTACAATTTGAGGACTTCAATAGCACAGATATAGATGTGAGGTCTTTTTTAGGAGTGGTGGGTGAAATTCTGTGGCCTGCATTGTGCAGGAGGTCAGACTAGATGATCATAATGGTCCCTTCTGGCCTAAATATCTATGAATCTATGAATTGTCTCCTTGAGAAACCACCAGCTCTCCTGAACTCCTTTTTCCCATTAGATTTTCTTCCCATGAAACCTTAGCTACCAGTTCTCTGAGTTTGTTAAAGGCTGCTTTTTTGAAGTCCAGTGTCCTAATTCTGCTGCTCTCATTCCTTCCTTTCTTTAGAATAATAAAATCTGTCATTTCATGATCACTTTCACCCAAATTTTTTTCTACCTTCAGATTTGCTACCAATTCCTCTGGGTTGGCCTGAGTCAGGTCTAAAATAGGTGTCCCCCGGGTTATGTCCTTCACTTTGCTGGGGACAACATTTTGTTCCAGATAGGTGCCAACTCCGTGGATGCTCCAGCCCTGAAGCACCCATGGAAAAAAATTATAGGGTGCTCAGCACCCACCGACAGCCAGCTCTCCCCTTCCCCCCGCGCTTCCCGTCCGCTGGTGGCCATGACGATCAATTCCTCCCCTTCCCTCCCAGAGCCTCCCGCCCACCGCAGATCAGTTGTTCTGTGGCATGCAGGCTGGGGGAGGGCAAGGAGTGGCAACAGGGCACTGTCAGGGGAGAGGGCAGAACTGGTGGGAAGGGGCAGGGGTGGGAGTGGGGTGTGGGATGGAGCGAAGGCAGGAAGAGGCGGGGTGGACTCGGGGCTTGGGGAAAGGGGTTTAGTGGGGCCTGGGGCAGAGCTGGGGGTTGAGCACCCCTGGGGCTTGGAGGAAACCGGCGCCTGTGGTCTCCAGTATGTTCCAAGAACTTACTGGAAATTTTGTGTTGCACCATATTACTCTTCCAACATGCAAAATGCTGTGCTGCATGTATCCCCTGCCTTAACCACAAGACCACTCTTTTCTCACAGTCAGAACGCAACCCAAGCATCCTGATACCCTGTGTCTGGGAAATAGCTGTATAAAGCCAGTGGTAAAGCATGTGTCCTGTCCCCTCTAGGGACTGTCATGTTTGATTTTTCAGCTTGGGGGCCAGATGTATTATTTCAAACAGAACAAGGGGCCACAGTCAATACTTAGGGATGGAGTCTCTGCCTGGTCCACTCCCTTGGTGCTGGCCAGCTGCAGCAAAGGGAGTAGAAACCACCCATAAGTGCCCAACTAGGGAGTCTCCAGTGAACACAGAGCCAGCATAGCTGGCCTTACATCAAATTCCCTGCAACCCCTGGTGCGGAAGGTGTAGAAGGGGAATGGCTGGAATGTGCTGTGACCATTGCCAGCTGGTGCACGTTAGAGTTGTTTAAGTCTGTGCCAGGCCCGGCCCCAGGTTGTTCAGATCTGTGCCAGGTCTGGAGCAGAGAATCAGAGCCATAACAGGGTGTCTCTTCTCAGCATCTCCCCTTTCCTCCTCTGCTGGGCTGCCCTGGTGCCTATGCGTAGGGCTAGGAGCTCGCTGAGATTCAGGCAGAGCCAGTAAAGCGCCTACCCTGTTCTTCCTGCGGTTCCCACAGGCCACCAGGCCATGGAGCAGCTAGAGCCTACTCCCTGCCATATACTCTGATAGCTCCGGTGGAAGAGGTCAGTGCCGAAGGTCCTGGGTTTGTTTAACCAGAACAATTTGGCAACTTCAACATAAATTTCTGAAATGTTTTGGTGAACCTGAATTGGTATTTTTGTCGAACAAAAGTTCATCCAAAAATTGTACCCAGCCCTAATCAGGACTGAGCAGCACCAGCAGAGGGGTTTGTGTGGGCTGTGGAGGGGAAAGGGAGTGAGTCTTTCTCAAACCATGCCCATATTGTGCAGCTCTTACAAATGTAAACCAAAGCCCCCTATATTCGGGCTAGGTGAGTGCACTTACCCCCAGCGCTTTTTTCAAATCCACTCTCACTGGAAAGTCCCTGCACACTGTGGGGTCGTTCTGGGGTGATGGGAAGTCTGTCTGGATGCACGGGAGCAGAGTGCGGGGAAGGGGTGGGAGTGCTGTCATGTGACACATTTTAAACTGGCCAGGACAGAGCTCTAGGTGAGATATAACAGGGGCAAGTCTGGTGAGTGAGATTGGCCCAAATGGAACCTCTGTGCCTCTGACTCAGAGCACTCTGGCTGCTGCTCTTTCTCATTCCAGGTGATCAGGGGGATTATTTCCGGTTGCTGCTGCCTGGCACTTACACCATCACTGCCTCAGCGGATGGGTATCGACCACAAACGGTGACCATAACAGTTGGCCCAGCCGGGCCTTCGCTGGTGAGTTGTGCTGAATAATCAGCAAGGGCTGTGTCAGGACATCTCAGAGTGAGTGAGAGATGTGCCCCTGATGGGGCAGTGGGCGAATGACACACTCTGCTGGTTCGGGTCACGTGGTGCAGTGATGGGCAGAGGTGGGAGAGAGATGTGTGGTGCAGATAGTGTCTCTGGCCATCCGGCCTCGGCTGTGGTTCCCTGCTGCCAGCAGATGGAAACAGGGAGCAAAGAAACCACACGTGACCAAAGGTGCTGAGTGGGGCTGTTCTACTCACATGTATTTTTCTGGCTCTCGGCAGTGGAGAGAACTGGCTGGGCGAGACTCCTGCCAGGTGCCTTTCCCCACAGCCTTCCCCTTCTTGTCAGGGTGAATTAAGTTTAGAAGGGGAGGGTGTGCTCCCTGGTGCATGACCAGAGCCTTGGCTTGGGACAGACAGAGGCAGTCCTGCCCCACGGGGCAGGCGAGACCCATGGTTTCACTGGCCTGGCATAGCTCATTTCCTGCTTTGTGACCAAAGATATTTTCAGCCCCACAGCAGGGCCCTCAGTCCTCTCTGAGACAAACTCTGTCAGGGTGAGGCAGGGACATGTGCTCACAGCCACTTGCCACACTGCTCTGGGCAGTGGTGTAACCAGGGAGTGTGAGATCTGCTGCTGGAATAGTGCACCCACAATTCAGGCTGGATGTTTATAAATTGGAGAGGGTTCAGAGAAGAACCATGAGAATGATTAAAGGATAGATAACCTGCCTTACAGTGATAGACTCAAAGAGCTCAATCTGTTTAGCTTCACAAAGAGAAGGCTAAAGGGTGACCTGATTAAAGTGTGTGTGTGTGTGTATATATATACACACACACACACACACATACACCCCTAGGGAGGTGGTGGACTTTCCTTCCTTAGAGGATTTTAAGGTCAGGCTTGAGAAAGCCCTGGCTGGGATGATTTAGTTGGGGATTGGTCCTGCTTTGAGCAGGGGGCTGGACTAGATGACCTCCTGAGGTTCCTTCCAACCCTGATACTCTATGATTCTATGATAACATATATACTTACATGAGGAGCAAGAGAAAAGTATAACATGATCCAGTCGCTGGAAGTTGAAGCTAGACAAAGTTAGATAGGAAATAAGGCATACATTTTGTGAATAAATTAGCCATTGGAGCAGTTTACCAAGAGTCATGGTGGATTCTCCATCACTGATAATTTTGAAATCAAGATTGAATTTTTTTACAAAGCTCTGCTCTAGGTATTATTCAGAGGCCATTCTCTGGCCTGTGCTGCACAGGAGGTCAGGCTGGACGATCACCATGGTCCCTTCTGGCCTAGGAACCTGTGACTATAAAAGCAGAAATGCTTTGAAATCACCGGTGGCTTTGGGGATAGGTGATTTTTGTGGAATTTCCACAGTCTCAGCAGGTGTTTTGTCTCCTGGTGTCATAGGAGCTGTCATGGGGCTGTTCTGCTGCACCACAGGTTATAAGTGTTAGTCCCCACAGCACTCAGTGAAATCACCACCTTTCCCCCACTGTTAATACTGTTCACTGTTATATATTCTTCCTATCTCTCTGTCAACCGGCCAGCACCCTGCTCAGCTCGTCCGCCTCCTGGGGGAAGGAATTATAGCTACTGTTTTTCTAAAAATTGGGCTTGTGCCTTTTTTGTGCCTTTGTTATGAAGAAGCCTGGAAATTATTAAAAAATCCTGCTTATTTTGTGTGCTAGGAATAGCAGGTCTGGTCACATCTAGTTTCCCTGGAAGAGTTCTTGGGGTCTCATCAATGTGTATTTCAAAATCTCTTTCACCTGGACTGAAGGGGGGATGTACTGAGTCTTTAACAAAGGTTTCCTTGCTCCAAAATCTTCATTACTCTTGGAAGTTAAATGTGTGTTTAAACTCTGCGCACGTGCACACACACACACACACACACACACAGAATTTTAAAGAGCTCAGCTGAAATCCTGTCCTCTCTCAGCTGTTCACATTTTACTTTCTCAACTCTAGTAGAGTCCTTATTTCACTAGGTCACCTGTTACCATAGAGTCTACTAGACTAGAGGAGGCCTAAACTTCTAATGTGAAAAACAAGCTGGGGGGGCTTTAAAATATATCTGTCTGGCCTTGTGTGTCCATCACAGAGAGGCAGAAAAAGGCACACATGAGTCGTTTCCCCTTTGCAGGTCTCCTTTCAAAAAAGCATGGGCCTTTGGTGCCCTGGGAGCATTCTACATTCGCAATGTAGGTGTTTGACAGCATAGGTGTGTCAATGGAAAATCAGGTTCTAGCTGGTTTGACCACTTTTGTTCCTGTCATGTCACAACATGCCCCTTATCAGCTTTGCTTGTCTCAGCCTTGAAAGCTAGAACTCTGTCCTGGCAACCAGGACTGACCTCTCTCCAGGCCTGAGCTTGCAAGGGATGAGCAGAAAGAGACATGCTTTTCTTCCTTTTCATGCCAGGTCCATTTCCAGCTCAAACAAGACACACTAAAAGGGCCCACGGAGAAAAAGGCCCCAGCCACCAGCCTGAGCAGCAAAGCCCTTCAGAAGAAGGTAGTGCCGAGAGCAGCCCATAAGAAGACACAGAGATGAAGATGGCCCAATCAGCCAAGAACTGGAGGAGTCCTATGAAGTAGCTGAGATCAAGAACTCCAACAAGTGAATGTCCTAACATGCAGCATAACAAGCCCAAATTGCCTAGTTTATTAAATGCAGAAATATTTAACTCCTGAGCAAATAGTGAACTCATTCAGAAAGAACTGCAGCAGTCTGAGTCTGAGAGCCCTTGGGCCAGTCAGGTTTCAGAGTAACAGCCGTGTTAGTCTGTATTGGCAAAAAGAAAAGGAGTACTTGTGGCACCTTAGAGACTAACCAATTTATTTGAGCATGAGCTTTCGTGAGCTACAGCTCGCTTCATCGGATGCATGCCGTGGAAACTGCAGAAGACTTTATATACACACAGAGACCATGAAACAATACCCCCTCCCACCCCACTGTCCTGCTGGTAATAGCTTATCTAAAGTGATCATCAAGTTGGGCCATTTCCAGCACAAATCCAGGTTTTCTCACCCTCCGCCCCCCCCCCCCCAACTCACTCTCCTGCTGGTAATAGCCCATCCAAAGTGACCACTCTCTTCACAATGTGTATGATAATCAAGGTGGGCCATTTCCTGCACAAATCCAGGTTCTCTCACTCCCTCACCCCCCTCCAAAAACCACACACACAAACTCACTCTCCTGCTGGTAATAGCTTATCCAAAGTGACCACTCTCCCTACAATGTGCATGATAATCAAGGTGGGCCATTTCCAGCACAAATCCAGGTTTTCTCACCCCCCCACTCCCATACACACACAAACTCACTCTCCAGCTGGTAATAGCTTATCTAAAGTGATCATCAAGTTGGGCCAGTCAGTCTCTCTGTCTCCTACATCTCTAGGTCTGTGTGTTGTCTGGGCACGTACCTGGGCCCTTTACCATTGGACTGGCCTCAACAGGCCATACTAGAGGTTCAAACAGTAATGATTAGATCCGATTCTGTTCGGAAGCAGGGGTGCTGAAACCATGCATTTGGGTTGTTATTACTACTTCCAGCCAGGAGGTGCAGCAGCGCCCCAGCACTCCTCGTTTTAGCACCTAGGTTCAGATGCTGGGTTTGTGACACTTGTGGATGAACACTATTGCATTTGCAGGCTGTGGGAATGAATCCTGGCTCTAGTGCTGTGGGTGTGACTATTAGTCTGCGCCCCAAGGAGGCGGGTGTGAAGTGTGGACCCTGAAGCTGAGGGAAGGTCAGGCTGGTGGCGCCGTGTGAAAGCAGTCAGTGATATGGCCAATGCTGAACATGGTTTGTGCCCATGAACAGTCTGGCTAACGCTGGTTAGTGACTCCAACAGCTAAGAGTTCATTGCCCCTGTAGCCAGATCTCATGTCATTGTTCTTTTGTTGTATGGATGGGACACTCTGTGTACCTGGCTTGGCTGGTTCCCTCCTTCCCAGCTCTCTACGTAGTAGGACATCCCAGAGTGCACTACCCCATGAGGATTACTGAGCCACCAATGGGATGTAGCCATCAAAAAGGCTAGTATGATCCTAGGATGTATCAGGCGAGGTGTTTCCAGTAGAAATAGGGAAGTATTCATGTCATTGTACAAAGCAGTGGGGAGATCTCATCTGGAATATTGGGCAATTCTGGTCACTCTTGTTAAGAGAGAGTAATTCAGACCGGAACAGGTGCAGAGAAGGACTGCTAGGATGACCCAGGGAATGGAGAGTGTATCTTGTGAGAGGAGATTAAAAGAGCTGGGCCCGTTTAATCTAGTTACGTAAAATGAAGGCTGAGAGGGGAAAGGATAGCTTTCGATAAATACAGCAAGGGGGCAAACACCAGGTAGGGTGAGGAACTGTTTCAGCTAAAGGACGACGTTGGCACAAGAACCAAGGGCCATGAGTAAATTTATTCTGGAATATAAAAGAAGTTTATTAACTAATAGATGAGTGAGGTTCAAGGAACAGCCTTCCAATAGGAGGCGTGGTGGCAAACAACTTAATGAGTTTTAGGGCAGAGCTTGGTCTAGCTATGAATAGCATTATATAATGGGGTTGTCCGTGATAGCAGGGCCTGGACTCGATGCCCCAGGATGCCCCTTCCAATCTGATGTTCCATGAGCTGCTGATGCCACCCTGAGACTCAGTGTTGCAGGTTTATTGTTCTTTTGGTTTTTGCAGTGTAGATGTACCCTCAGACGCTATGGACAGGCAGCCTGGGAGGCTTGGATTTACAATGTGCTCAACACATAGCTGTGGTGTGAAAAATAATGTTTGTCGTAACTGGGTCCAATAAGTCATGGCCCAGTCACAAAAACATGGTACTATTTGGTACTGCAGGCAGAGTTGTTACACCCTAGGGCACTGAGGCACTGCTCCAGAATCCAAGGGGGTTCAGTTGGGATGCAAAAGCAGCAAAGACAAGACTTGATGTTTCTAGAGTAAAACACAAACAGGTAAAACATTTTTGGCATTCTTTAAATTAGGAAAAAAGGCACATACACAGCTTTCTCTTCCTTTTGTAGCTCAGTTTTATGGTCCTACTACAGGAGATCATACCTAAATCCGGTTCTGGTGTCCCCTCGGAACTTGCCTTCTGTAGCATGCTGCGGAGCTGTGAGCCACTGTGTTACCTCTCTGCTTCAGCAACAGTGTTTTGCTGACGATTAGACTGTCAGCTCCCCGTCACATCAGCCTGTCTTCCCCACCAGCAAACTCCTCAAGGCTCTCCCGCCCCAGACCTCACCCAGCAAGTAACAGTCAGTGCGCTCCAGCCCTCAAGCTCCTCAGATGTTTCCCTGCAATGCACAGCCCCTACCATGGTACATTCATAGAAGATACTAAGTTCACTGCTCTGTTGGCGTCTCTACATCACAGCTTATTAATTTAACTGGGTAAATACCCTTGAAACCCAGCACTGAATTGGGATATAGGAAAATTAGAGAGTTTATTAATAAAAGAGCATGGCTTAAGTGATACAGTTAAAGAGATAAACGTAGAGATGGTTACAAGAAAATAAAGTGAAAAAACACATTTAAAACTTAATCTAGCAAGATACAGTCTGTTCAAGACGGCTTCTCTCAGCACAGTCTCCTTTTCCAGCTTATTGCTGGCCAGCCTGGCCAGGACTCATCACAGAGATCATAGAATCATAGAATATAAGGGTTGGAAGGGACCCCAGAAGGTCATCTAGTCCAACCCCCTGCTCGAAGCAGGACCAATTCCCAGTTAAATCATCCCAGCCAGGGCTTTGTCAAGCCTGACCTTAAAACCTCTAAGGAAGGAGATTCTACCACCTCCCTAGGTAACGCATTCCAGTGTTTCACCACCCTCTTAGTGAAAAAGTTTTTCCTAATATCCAATCTAAACCTCCCCCACTGCAACTTGAGACCATTACTCCTCGTTCTGTCATCTGCTACCATTGAGAACAGTCTAGAGCCATCCTCTTTGGAACCCCCTTTCAGGTAGTTGAAAGCAGCTATCAAATTCCCCCTCATTCTTCTCTTCTGCAGGCTAAACAATCCCAGCTCCCTCAGCCTCTCCTCATAAGTCATGTGTTCCAGACCCCTAATCATTTTTGTTGCCCTTCGCTGGACTCTCTCCAATTTATCCACATCCTTCTTGAAGTGTGGGGCCCAAAACTGGACACAGTACTCCAGATGAGGCCTCACCAATGTCGAATAGAGGGGAACGATCACGTCCCTCGATCTGCTCGCTATGCCCCTACTTATACATCCCAAAATGCCGTTGGCCTTCTTGGCAACAAGGGCACACTGCTGACTCATATCCAGCTTCTCGTCCACTGTCACCCCTAGGTCCTTTTCCGCAGAACTGCTGCCTAGCCATTCGGTCCCTAGTCTGTAGCTGTGCATTGGGTTCTTCCGTCCTAAGTGCAGGACCCTGCACTTATCCTTATTGAACCTCATCAGATTTCTTTTGGCCCAATCCTCCAATTTGTCTAGGTCTTTCTGTATCCTATCCCTCCCCTCCAGCGTATCTACCACTCCTCCCAGTTTAGTATCATCCGCAAATTTGCTGAGAGTGCAATCCACACCATCCTCCAGATCATTTATGAAGATATTGAACAAAACCGGCCCCAGGACCGACCCTTGGGGCATTCCACTTGATACCGGCTGCCAACTAGACATGGAGCCATTGATAACTACCCGTTGAGCCCGACAATCTAGCCAGCTTTCTACCCACCTTATAGTGCATTCTTCCAGCCCATACTTCCTTAACTTGCTGACAAGAATACTGTGGGAGACCGTGTCAAAAGCTTTGCTAAAGTCAAGAAACAATACATCCACTGCTTTCCCTTCATCCACAGAACCAGTAATCTCATCATAAAATCACTTGATTTTATAAAATAAAATAAAATAAATATAAATATATACTTTATAAAATAAGTGATAAAATCACTTGTTTTCTTCGTCTCCTAAAGTGAAAGATAAAGATGGATTCTCGCTCTGCCCCTTATGTTCCCACAGGGATGTCTTTGTCTCATAAGTCAGGAAGGCTTCCTGAGCGCACAGTCTCTTGTGTCTCTCTGGAGTGCAGGAGGCATGTTTCTCTGTCTTTGAGTATGGGCTCAGGATAATCCCTGCTGGTTTAGCTTGATGGCTTTTGTGTACTGCTAATGTAACTGGAAGTAAACCCTTTGTCTAGGACAGACCTCCTTACCACCTTTATCTAGGCTAGGCTGTCTGGTCTTAAACCATGTTCTAATAACCTCATGTAGAGGGAAATGATAACTTCCCATATAACATTAACACAGGCACTTTACAATATTAATAACCAGCGTGTTACTAGTTTTCATACCATACCTCACAGGGTGTATTTTGTACAAAAATGCTTGCAGTAAGGTGTAGGGTGTGAATACAGGGGTGCTTAGCGTCACACGTCCCATCTTCATCCTTTCCATTTCTCTCCTAACTTCAGACCTATCCAGAGACATTACCAAACTGTCTTGCAAACTCCTCCTCTTTCCCAGGTGTCTCTTGGTCTCATCTCCATCACTCCTGAGCCACCCAACAGCCCATCACATGAGCCCTATTCAGCATCAGTACTCTCAGGGACAAATCCCTCCTTGGCTCTGTCTTCTCCCACACAAATCACTGACTCTCTGTCTTACTGGGCTGCAGTGAGCAACTCCACCTCAAACCTCTATTTGCTTCCAGATGCTGCTTCCCTACAATGTCTCCTCCT